TCACTATGCAAAATACGATTATATGGTTGTAAGATATGATAGCTTGCAGAATACTGAAACCAAAGTGAAACGAATAAAAGACAATCACTCTTTCAAGATATACCCAGACTTTAAAACTGATTTCATTACTGGCTTGGGTTGCAGAAGTGTCTCTCTCACTTCTGTGGTCCTGGCAGAAAAATATTTCTTTCTGTATTCAAAAGAACAAATTCCTTCTGCCAAGAGTATAAATTTATACTCAGGAAAATTGAGCATGTATTTAAAGGGGAAACAAAGAACAAGTGGTAGAAGTACTATATATTATATTATATTATATTATATTATATTATATTATATTAATGGGACTATAATAATAATTCCAAATATTTGAAAATATTAGGTAGCAGCAAGTATTAGGTTCTAATTAGACATATAGAAGCAGGGTACTGGGATAAGAAAGACCATCCATTCCAGCCAGGTAAAATGAAGGAAATTGGTCACTTAGTTTGGAGTTTAAAACCTCTGATCCCATACCCTGCCAATTAAAGGGTGGAAAGTGGATGGGATTCAGTGACATTACACTCTAAGGAATTATGATGTCTTCTTCAAAGGTGGTGATAAAAGGGAAATAAAAATATCTGTGCATGAGGATCATTGACCTTGATGTTTGAATTGTTGAATCTTTGAAGGAAATATGGCATGCCCAGAAGTTACAGATGTGCTCTGACATTTTATGAATAGATTTTATGAGAATGTTAACAAAAACATCTACATGCACATATCTGGATACTGTAAGAGCTTGGGTGATTTTTTAAACAAGAGTTTAAAATTCAATCCAAGCAATAGTGGCTGCTAAGTAGAGAACTTGACAGTATGCTTGAATTCATTAATTGCAATGGAGATTTTCAGAGATACAGACGGAAGAACATTGCATATATTCCACCTCCAGAAATTGTATCTCTTTCACAGCTCAGCCAGTGTTGAATTACCTTTCAAATACACTTGTCCTTTAGCTATTGATGGTAGCTGAGATAGAAAAGGTAATGTTGTTCACACAGCTGGATGTGAGAAGTTGGTATAAAGCAGTCCCACACAGGAATGGGACATCAGTGCAGATTAATGCCTTCAGCCCATGTCATTTGTGAATTATTTCTGCAATTGCTCTTTGTTTGGGATCGAGCAGGGTATTACATACATTCTGAAACAGAGACAAGCATAGGTTGTATTCTCTCAAAAAGAATCTTCATGCTGTTGGTGAAGAGCCAGTGAGTTCAATTACTTCCTTGCAGAAAGGCTTTGAAATTAAACTGGCTCCAGTGCTTCAGACTGCACTGATAAGACTTTTTCATGGACAAAGGCTTCTTACCAATCAGCCAATTTCTTTTTAGGCTATAGTAGGAAGTGCTCCTAAATTTCTCATTATACACTATTTTATTGGAAGGCAAAGGTGACTCCACTGGTGGGAGAAAATTGAAGTTCCTTCTAATAAATTATAGATACACACACAGAGTTTAGTTATGGTCCACTGATTAATACTAAGAAAGCAAATTAATTTTTGCATGGATGATAAAGCTGCAAAAAGCTGAATGAGATTATAGAGCAACAACAGTAATAAGCTTAATTGCAGATGACTTTATAAGCAAAGGGCAGGAATTGTGATATTAACATAACCATGTCTGCTTTACAAAGTTGGAGATAAGAATCCAATACTATGGGAAACAATTAGAGGCAACAATATGTGGTGAGTAAATTGGAAAGGCCTACATTCAAAGAGTCTGGCCACAAGAAAAGGAAAAACCAAAAAGTATATCAACAAAAAAGTGAAGACAAAAGAGAAAGCTAAGTATAAAACCAATCATTTTATATGAATGCTGCCTTTTTGTTGTTGTGTATATTTTTATTAGGATTTTTAAAATGATATTGCATAAGCTGCCTTGTTGATGTAAGCTGAATAGAGGTAGAAAACATTTTTAAATAAACAAACAACAAAGGGTCATCTGATACCTTTTAAATATGGTCCATGAGGCCTCCATAAATTCAAATTCTGTGAATATGGCGAACGTGGGCATTCATTATCTCTTAGTCTAATGTACCTCATGTGATTGTTTGCAGAAGTATTAAAAAACCCACCCATTTGCTTTCCTAAACTATTTGCAGCAATTCAAATGTAATAAATTGAAAGTGCAGTTTATTATTTTTAAAGGCATTCTTTTGCAGCTTAGGAAGGAATTGGTACCCAATGTTCAAATCTGAAAGGGAAAAAAACCCCCAGACTTCAAGGTTAACAAAACTGTATCTGTCCCATCTTATACATCATTATTTTCAACCCCCACAGACAGGCAATGAGGAAAGGAGAAAGGAAACGCAATGGGGCATTTGAAGATGCAGCAGTTCTTCTCCTTCCAGTCTAAGGATAAGGTTACCAACACTCCCTCATGCTGCTTTCCTATTCCAATATGTTACCACTCATTTCAGTTTTGTCTGTCACTGCTCGAGAATGAGAATGTGGCAGGGGGGAGCCTCAAAGCAATTGTTGTTTTCAAGAAAATAACTCTTGTTAGCAAACGACTGGCAGAAGAAAAGGAGATTTTTATTTGCAGGTGATCTTGGCAGATGATTTTTGTCAGCAATGGCTTGACCTTTTCTGGGTGTTTTTTGTCAGACTCCCGCCCCCCCTCATATTTAGCCATCTAAATCACATCAAACATGATATGAAGAAAGGAGAACACTTTACAGGGATTTGGATAAGGTAATTAATTAAGCATCATTTCTCTTATGTAACTTTCCAGTCTAAACTTCCTTTTCTGCTATTTTTTTTTCTTTAAATAATATGACACCTAAACCTTTTCCCCTTGATGATTTTGAGGCAAGGAAGAACGGTATTTTAATTAAAAAGGAGTATGATATTCTCAGGTGCATATATTTATTTTATATCTCAAGATTTGACTCCTAGAATATTTTGATAGAGGAGATTTAATTTAATATGTCCTTAAATTGGTTATAATATTTCCACTGACAAGATTGTATATTTTGTTTTTGAGCAAAAAGAGATGAAAATGCTCTTTTGAACTGCTCCTGAAAGGAAATGTATCAGTAGCCAACCACAATTTTAGACACAGAGCAGCACTGCCTGAAAGAGACATATTTATTCATTATTCAAACCTCTCGAGGATGAGACATAAAAGAGACTAGTCCAGATACCTCATCTAAAGATATGTGAAAACTATTTTGCGATCTATGTTTATATTTTCTGAACAAATTGGAAGATGTTATTCTGGAATACAATGGAAAAGTTTGTAAAGAAGCACTGGAATTGATCTCAGGCTCTTCTTTAACATGGCCCACTCTCCCAAGTCTTGTACAGCACTTTATATATGTTGGCTAACTATTGTAGTAATTGTACTATTAAAAAGAGCACTGTTGTTACATGTTTTCCATTACTATATAGGAGCGTTAACCAGAAAGAAAAAAAAAATGAACACACCAAAATGCATCAAGTAGGCTCAAGAATAGCTTTACAGAGAGAAGTAGTCAAAGATGCCCTAATACAGATTAGCATGTAATGGAACAGATCCAGCATTTACTACTGAGACATTAACCGTGTTGGAGTTCTGAAACTGATCAAGCTTGCCTGGCACCATTAGGTTGCTGTAACAGACCCTGCTCCTTGTTCTTAGAGATACCATAACGTTTGACAAAGAGTTATGTACAGAAGGAGAAGCTTTTTTCCCCCTTCTCTGGAAGTTTGGGATTTTTCCCCCCCGTAGTGTGTATCTATTCACTACCAGTTATTTGCACAAGAATAAATGGTTAGCTTTGAAAGTATCTTAAGAAGAATGCTGCAGAACATGACTGGAATTTCCTTTATTTCCATCCATCTGGCTTTTATTCCTTACTTGGTTCTCTTTCTTCCACCACCTAGACCCAGACCACACCTGGTCTCTCATGCGTACAAACACAAGATAGAAGCAAACCATCCCTGAACATTTGAATGTTGCTAAATGGTGTTGATACTACATGTTCTTATTGTAGAATCTAAGTTCTATCATGGAGAGTCCTCTTTCCAAAAGTCCATACAGTACAGTCGGTTCATTTCTGAACAGAGGAAACCCCTCTCTGAAGCATTGTTTACATTTAACATATGAATGTGGCAATTTACTGAGAAAAAAAATGGGACAAGCATCATTTTTAAGTATAGGCCATCTTTTTGTCAAGGCATTACTGGTAGTGACTATGTCAAAGCTATTTTAAAATGGTAATCTGATGACTACTTTCTCTGATGTAATTCTTCTAGGGTTTTGGTTTCTAAATCATCTCCTTAGTATGCTTTAAAACTGAAGCAATGACCAGCAGGAAATAGAAATTGAAAGAAAAATGATTACAGGTTCCTTGCTGACATTCTTTCATTCACGAAGTCATGTACCAAATGTCTTTTACAAACTGTCTCAGGATGACAAGATTAGACTAAATCAACTTTAGCTAAACTGGTGCTGTACAAATGAGCGGATTAGCTAATCTTAGGGAGTAATTGGTTGAGAAACTTTGAGGAATAATAGGACAAAAACTAAACAAATCAGAAAACCTTTGAATATAGTCATTCTAATTCAATTTAATAAGTTAAAAAGGGTTCAGTTCCACAAAAAGTATGTGAAGGAATTAATTTTCCTTGCAACTTCTGAGGGCTGACTGTTGCCATTCACACCAATTCAGGCATGGGCAAATAGCCTGGAAAGTAACAGAACAAACACTGGGAACATCCCAGATTCCACTGTAGAGTGGAATATGTGAGTTACCAATTTCTTACACACATACTGTCCTAGAAATAACCCTGAATATAATAAGGTGGATAGGAAAATAATTCATTTTAAATCAGTGCAGTTATTTCTGCTAGATGCCAAGAAGTATGTTCCCAATTGTGTTAGTTTCTCTGTCTTTGAAATACAACGTGGCAAAGTGCAAATTACTTCTCAAGGCATTGAGGACCCATATGTAGGAGAAGCAAAGAGCAAACAGCAGCCTACCTTGGGGGACAAGGTTCCAGGTTACAAGATCTCAGCAACTGTGGGGGGCGCCGACTGCTCACACATAGATTTTCATTTGCAAATTCTCTGGTCTGTTTATTCAGGCAAGTCACTACAGCCTCTTGGACACCTGTACACACAAATCAAATTAAATCAAATTAATGTTTAAAATCCTGCAGGCTGCATTCCAAGCACAGAGTCAGCAAAGAGAAGTGCAGACATGATACTAACAAGGGATCCTTTGGAGCAGCTTGGGAGCTTGGTGCCTCTGGGAAAGCAATCGGATACTCTCTACTGTCAAAAGGGCAGCCTCACACACGGCTGCTACCCACTGAGTAGCATAGTGACATAGAAGTGGAAACATAGTGCCACACAGCAGATACACTATGTGTCTTTTAGACAACTGAAAAATGTTATCATCCTTTTTTTTCTGATTAGATGTGGTAGCTGATTTATTTTTTTTCCCTAGGAAGAAATAGAGTGATGCAACCCTATTGCCGGCAGCTAAAGGAAGTGCACGCATTTATCGTTTATAGTTCTAAAGTGGAATCCAGCACTAAGTTAACACTAGCGTACTGGATAGCAACACGTATATCAGTATAATTGGGTGTTCAGGACCTACAGAAATGGAACATGGAACAAAGATTTAGAAACCCTAAATAGCCACCAGAAAGAAAGTACAAGTTTATTGTGTTTTAGTGAGTTTGATGGGATTGAAATGGCTTGGGGATCTTATTCCAGCTAGAGTTATGGATATATTTGTAAAATGGCACAGAAAACCAATTAATCCAGGTAACACTTAAGTATTTCTTTCAATTTGTCTGCAAAAGCTTACAGATAATTTTTAAAAGCTCTAGCTAAAAAAGCACTGTGGACAGAGATCAGGGTTCCGTGCTACCCTCACTTCCAGACCTGATAATGAGTCGCAACCTATGGTTAGTCAGATTTGGCAGAGGTCTTCGTCTTCAAGGTATGTGTCAGGTCTGCTGTGTTCAAATGAGCTGATAGATTGATTGCTGGAGATTCTGACAGTATATTTCAGTTTGCTGCTCCATTGTAAAGAAGGATGCTGAATATACTCAGCCAAAAGGATATAAATGACTCAGGAGCAACTGCCTAGGCCATTCACACCATCCATGCTCTCCCTCACATGTACATTCATTCACATACTCTTACTTCACGCTCCCTCCCACGCTTGGCTTTTTATTCTTTCTTGCCCTCCTTTTCTCTTTCATCACCTTTCATTCTCCTTGCTTCTCATTCTCTCTCTCTTTTCCATTTTTCATTCCATACGTAAATAGTTGATTATCAAAGGAAGCTTTAAAAAAAACAAAAACTTATTATCATGTGTGTGGTATGTGAGGTTTTTTTAAAGGAGGTCTATTTTCCTTTTCCTGCCCATCCTGACACCATGATGCAAAGGATGTAACTTAAATTCTTGGGTCAGATACCATCACATAATTGTGCCATTTGCACAATGGCATCATGATGTGTGTGCCACTAGTTATACCCACCTATTCTCACAGAGTGCTTAGGGTTTTTAATTACAGAGGATTAGTCCTTCCCTTCCCAGCAACAATTCTATATGAAAAAGCCATTCATGTTCATTGTGTTTAAGAAACCTTGCTTGCCACGAAAGGAAACTTTTATTAAACAGCAGAAATGTGCATGCAGACTAGAAAGGAAAGCCCTATAGATTGCATCCAGCCTAGAGATCACAAGACGTTCCTTTCTTCTGTCATAACCCTTCATGTAAAAAAAATTACATATGCTTCCAGCATTTGTGGCTCTGAAGACAACCTTAAATACCCACTATCAATGGGCAATATACTTTCAGAAATCAAAAGACTAATTACAAGGAAAGCTCAACCCATAATTCTGTCTCCTTCACCCCCTATGATCTAGCACACTTTGAAAGTTTCTACACTTTGAGATGAAGAATTCTAGAAGAAGCCCCAGAGTACCGCATTCTTTAATAATGTCTTGACAGACTTCAAGTACAACACCTCCCCGCCATCTTAGGACACTTATATTAATTAAGGGAAGCTAAAATATGCAAATTCACTGCAGCACACCAGTGTTTTCATTACTGTTTTTAGTGCTGGAATAAACAGCCTGCCCCAGGCCTCAGGAAACCAGATGCTAGATATTCTCTTTCTCTGACACAGTGTGCATGAACTGCCTTTGCTGTCTGGATACGCTGTTCAAAGGTCATCTGACTGTAATTTCAAGATTTACTTGAATGGTGATGTTTAGCTTGGGTGAAACCTTTGGCATCCCAACTAGCACCAGAGTTAAAAAAGAGTGTAGTCGAAGAAGCTGCACAGTACTTCAATTCATTGAAGCATCAAAATCTTTTGAAGATGACAGAATGTTTATAAAAGCATCAAGCAAGCTAGAAAAATGATGCTGAATGAGAAAAAATAACACGGCCCTCTGTACAGAATATACAGCACACTGACTTCTTATTTTTTTAGGCCAAAGTTTAAAACAAACAACATGACTTTTTGTTGCAATGGGTCAAAGCATTATTGCTCAAAATAACATCGTATTTTAACAAAACAAAACAAATAAACAAAAATTATTGGAGTTGTTAAGCCTGCCTTATTTTGCTTTATTCCATGCTAGCCTGATTTTGCTGTATCCCAACAAAGACACAGAATGCCACAGACATTTGTTCATGAGCTTCACCGAATTTAAATTTCTTGGCTTAAAAAAATACACAGAAATGGGTAAAAAATGCAGACAAATGAGTATTTGGGGATACAATACACACAAAAATTCAAACTGTGTGGAAAAGAGACATGATGAATGTGATTTCATTGGGTGTTTTGCCACTGACAGATGTCAAAACAGGACAGGACAGATTTGTGAAAATGGGAAGTTGCCATGAACAGAAAAAGGTCTAAGTCATAAATTGTAACTTACCGGTGTGCTATTGGTGAGAGTTTATGCGTGTGCACCCCCCAACGTAAAAAAAAAGGCTTCCCCATGTAAATAATAGGAACAGCAGTAAAGCAAAGCTCACAAAAGTACAGGTTTAAATCTACACTTAAAATAGTCAAGTATGAACACCACAACTGCATGTTTGCAAGTCTGTAATGTATGGAAAGACTGGTCAGAGCACTGGAATTCTTTCCAGTTCTTTGTCATATGTGCATCTTTGGCAAACAGATGCTGCATAATATATGAAATGGCATGATATGCTTCACATGCTTCTCATTATTGCAGAAAAGGGCTATATATAGCACTTCATAGCAAGGAAAAATGCTTGGTGGTTTTCTGTAGTATGCCATCCATCTACCCAGAGTCAGATTAGAATAGTGAGTAAACCCTGTGCTCCAAATCTTATTACTGATTGCCGCATTGACTTAAATCACCGGTTCAAGTCAACCTTCCACCATGTACTCTGCAGACCATCTTAAACTAGCTGCTTTTTCTTTGTTGCAGATTTGCAATACGGGGATGGTAGTGATCCATCTCATGCAACTGATATATAGAAGATAATGTGTGGGAAGTAGCATGAACAACCCTTGCTTTAGGAAAGGATTGTAAAGTGCCCCAAGTTGCACATAATGAGGGCAACAACATCAACCCTGAAATATAGCACATTACAGCTGTGGGATAAAGAATGAAATGAAGCAACATATTGCAGGATGGGTCCCTTTCAAGTCATCCCTGAAACCCTGAGTGTGATTTTCAACATTACCATGGGGAAGGCATTTTTGCAACAGCTCCTCACTGTAGCTATATACAAACACGAATGTGCACAGAATGCTATAATATTAGCATATAACTGTGAAACATTTCCTGATCTACTAATGTCACTACTTGTAACAACTTACCAAGATAAATTTGCTAGTAGCTTTCAGCATGTTAAGACATTAAAAAAAAATCTTAATGATTTCAAAGACGCTCCCACTGTGGGAAAAAAATGGATAAATAATACTAGTGACTGATTTGAAAAGGAAATATTAAGCCAAGAAAATTTACCCTTCATGTTAGTATACATTTCTAATGTTTGGCAATATTACTTTAGGTGTTCTCCCTCCCTTGGTGGTAATATGATGCTTCAAATCATGCTGAAGTTGTTTTGATTGTTCCCCAGTATATTTCCTTGGATATACAGAACTTGGTATTCATTCTCCTTCCATAACTGAGCTACTGATCCAATGCGTTCATTCATTCCCAGTGAAAAATAGCATTTCTTCGGCATTCTGTGACATATTAATGTTTTTTATTTCCACTCTGCAGTGACCACCTATGTGTCTGAATAATTGCTTTAATAGATTCTTTTAAAATCATAATTGTAATTTTTAATGATAAACTGCTTCAAAAATTTCTTTTAAAGGGAAGTAGTAGAAATAATAAGTACTGTAAATAAATAAGATAATTAAAACCTAATGTAATATAAACATAATACAATATAAAATGTAATATAAAACATAATACAATATAAACATAATATAAAATAATTAAAACATAATACATAATAAAGAAGCCAAATATTCTTTTCTAATCAAGTTATGTAATTAGGCCGCAGCTGAACTGTAGGACAAGCTCCTGTTCTGGGATGCTCCTTTTCTTGAACTAAAAAATACTATTTAACTTTATGATTTGCTCCCAACTTTGGTTTGTTCTTTTTCCTTCTTTATTCTTCTTTTTCCTTTTGTATAGTATCTTACAGACTGTAAGTTTGCAAATAAAGACTGTTCTGCTTTTGCTGGTTATATGTAAGCTGCTGTGGAAAACATTCTATCTGAAGAGTAGGATGAAAAAAAAAAGGCTTTAAGTGAATGCAGCAATAAATAATGAGAAAAAGCTGCTCAGAATTGGGAGGAAAAAACCCCAGTCATTCCAATTTGAGTATTTGAGATTCAAGTTTTAAAAAATATTGGTAATTTTAACACAGTGAACCTGAGTTTATTTTCCCTTAAAAATCTCTCCAATTTATGACTGGCAAATTAAAATGCTACGTGGTGCAAGAGTAGGACATGATATGAATCTAAGTAGCTTTTAATTCACTTTCAATATACCATCAAATGGGATTTGCAATGTTTACATCTACTAGCAGAGCATAATTGTTATGTGATACTTGATGACAGCGGTGGAAGACGTAGCCACTGAATATAGACTAAATTACTAATTAGTTCCTTCTGGCTGCTATTCCTTTGAGGGCAAAATCCTACTTCTGTGTCTATTATATTTCATCTATGGAGAGTAGAAAAAATACAATTATCTGTCGTGTAAGATTATTTCAGATGTATTTATTTCATTTTAATTATTTGAACAGAAAGTGTTTCTTCAAACATGCGGCAAGGCAGCCATTTTGCTAACAACTGTAAGACACTTAGCTGAACAAATGGAGGGCAATAAATAAACACGAGAAAGGATAATAAATACAAACATAGCCCCAAAGTCCAGTGGCAGTACTCCATTTTTACTCAGTACCATTAAAGTATCTCTGTAAGAACTGGGTCTGAGATTAAGTGGTCAGTATTTGGTGAATTTGCATAATCAGTATTGACAACTGATTATGAAGATCACAACCAGGGTTGTCTCAATATGATACGATACTAGTAACAGCAATGCATGATAAATGCAGTATCTTTCTCACTTCCCTCAGTACAGTACATCTGATGAGATGGTTGACATCATTGGCAACCAAACAAGCTACTCTTTTATCATGATAGGACTTTCTGATTTTAACATACACTGTGGTTCTATGGTAATTTCATCTCCACCACCCTCTCAAGCCACAATCTCTGTCTTTACTTTTTATTTACTTATGAAGGCTTCATTTAGTAGGATGACACTTGCGTGAAAGGGATGCATGAATGCAAAACTTCAGACTGAGGTGCTTGCAGAAATGGACGTTTTCACAAGAAGATCAAGTTAGGTTTGATTTTGCTCAAAGCTCTGCAGCAAGCAAGCGAAATGTGTTTCCTTGGAAGCTGTATGGATATTCTTTTTGGTTCTGTACTTCCTTTAGGGCAGTGTTTCTGAACCTTGGCCCCTTGAAGATGTGTGGACTTCAACTCACAGAATTCCCCAGCCAGCCCATGCAGTCCACACATCTTCAAGGGGCCAAAGTTCAGAAACACCGCTTTAGGGAAAGGAGATAACTGGCCAGTGGTGCAGCCAAACAACATTATTTACTGTACCTTATTTCAGTCTTTCTTTTGACTTGGATTTGGCATTGAGTACAACACTTGAGGGCCACGATAGGTGAGCTGCCCTGGATGCAAGTTTGATGCACAGAGCTGCCACCTGTGTCCAGTTACTACTGTGATATAGCAAAGGTTAAAGCCTTTGTGCCACTTTCAGAAGCTGTTTCCTTAACTGCCTCTCAGAACAAAGTAGCAAAGAAAAGCTGCATCTTGCTGCGGTTAGGAAATGGGATGTGGATGAACTGTCGGAAAGAGTTCACTCTGTATGACTTTCCTATTATACAGAGTTTATTCATACCCTTTGAAATACTACAATGTATTATGTAAACATAATTTTTGTACGGTAAATCTCAATTTCAGAGAAGTTAAAGAAGATAAGCATTTTAGAAAAATTAAGGAAGTTAAGGATTAGAATTGTTAGGTGCATAGCTCTCCATAAACAATTATACTAAAATCATGGAATTTGGATTGGACACAATGTATAACAAACAATTCTCATAACAGGCATAAATGGTGATACTCCTTGACTTTTCCTTTAAGTGCCAAGTTTATTAGCTTCAGGCACTCTTTTCGTTAGTTATTTCTGCCATATGTTTTTTCTCTCCCCTTTAAATCCAAGCTAATGTCATTTGGTGGGATAAGCTATCAAAACCAGCTGAGTCACCAACAGATTCAGGAAAAAGAAATACATACGCGAGAGCCCTGTGCTTGCGATCCATATGTCTCTGCTTACGAAGCAGACGTCAGGCAATGTAAAGTAAATGACACCTGATGCTTCCTGTCTTAGCTTCTCTCTCTAAAAACAGGATTCTCTGCCCCAAATGTAAGTGGTCAGCAGGAAATGTAAACAAGCAGGCTACTACATTAGTCATATGAAAGACCCCAGCTGTGAATTTTGATACCTTCTCAATTCAAAATGGTTTTACATCTGGACCTCATTTCCAATAGTTCTCCTACAGAGCCACCCTTCCTTTTTAAACAAGAAGATTGAAGGCTGATTCTCACATTATGAATATTTTGGTGAAGCTGATGGAAATCTCTGCGTTGTGGCAACTTTGCACAGTGGCTATAATCTGGGAAAAGTGCATAGCCCACGGAGAACCCCAAGGAGTTTCCCTCCCATTGCCAGTTGCCTCAAGAATGTGTGGTGCCTCTAAATGGAACATCACCATAAATAAGTATTCTTGGCTTTCTACTTGGCAACCAGAAGGTGAACATTTTCTACAGGCCATATCATAGTTTTTGCTGTGATATACAAGAGAGGGCACAACGAAAGTCTGTGAACAAACAGTAAGAAACCAAGGATGGGAGTAGCATTATAAATACTCTAAATACATAGTTCTATACTCCATAGATCAATGTTTCTCAACCTTGGCAACTTTCACATGAGTGGACTTCAACTCCCAGAATTCCCACTGCCATAGATGCTATGATTTCACCAGGCCTTCTCTGGTAAAAGAAGGTTGGAGATGCTATACTGACCATGGTTTTTGGAATATAATTAAGTGCTGTGTGTATCTAATATAACTTCTAATTGGAGAGTGGAATCATTGCTTGAAATCTTTCATCAGCAATGGGTTCAGTGAATGATCTCAGGGAAGCCACACTCTCAGCCCCAACCTGCCAGGCTGTCCAAGCTAATATCATTTGGCATTAAAACTAGCTGAGTCACCAGTACATTCAGGGAAAGAAAAAGGAACTTGCTGCTTCAGATTTACATCTCTTTGCTTACAAAAGTAAATATATTTACCTTTCTCTATAATATTCTGTATAATATAGGAATAACAATGCTAAACTTTGAGCAGATAGGAATAGTTGATACATGTATCATTATTATTATTCTTAACAACATCACCACCCTGTTTTTCTTCCACCATCTTAAGTTGGCTTATGTGGGGATTTCCTTTCTTTATATCCATGCAATGCCCTTGGTAGGTAGACAGTGCTGAGAGAAAGTAGTCAGCTTAAAGTCACTCATTGAACATACTTAGCTGAGGGTGGTTTACACCTGGTCTCCCCAGTTGTAGTTCAACATATTAACCACTACATCATACCATTAAATGGTATCAACACTGGTTGTACCTGAAACCTTTTTTAAATATCACCATCACATTATTTTATGTTTCAGGGGTTTCTTGACACACATTTCAGTGAGTAGAAAGAAATCTAGATTGGATTTAGGGAATTAGTATGAGGTTAATTTATAAAATATCCTATATGCTAGACATTGACCAAGCCTTCCTACTATTTTCCAGCAACTTCAATAAAAAAAAAAGGAAGGCAAACAAATACATAGTTTGAAATCTCAAGGCTCTAACTTTGAGGTGGATCCTGGCTAAGTTAGCCGGATCAGGCAGACATGACTCAAGTCACACTGATTTCAAAGAAGTCTAAATGCAACCCCCCCCCCCCCATTCTGGATCCAAAAAAATTAATTCCATAGTCAAATATGTATGAAACGTAGAAGTGAAAGAAGATGCAAATCAAACTCACCTCCACCACAAGCCTCAGAGCATTCAGTGAAGCCTTCATATTCCCAGTCGTAAAGTTCATCAAAATCTTCTGAGCCTCTAGAGAACAGATCAGTCTCTTCGCCAGTTTCTCCGTTGCAAGGTCCACCATAACAAGCTCGTTCAGATGTTGGTTTGGGCCCTTCACATTCATCAATGGGCAGATCTGCTACAGACTGAGAGAAGGATAGCAGCACCTGGCACTTCACCAACCGCACCTGGATGCCCACCCCACAGGTCACACTGCAGGCAGACCAGTCCTCAGGAATAAACCTGTGATAGTAAAACCAATGTGAGAGGAGAAAGACAGAACATAAAAGTCATCTGTGGGCTGCGGAGACACACTTCAAAGTCATTCACTGCCCCCTCTCCTCAAGTGATGCAACTACAGAAGTGCTTGCCCATGGTTTCAAGATAAGCATACTCATAGTTCATACTAACCATAGAACACAACCTTTGCTCTAGGGTCAATGGGTCTGCTCGTGAAGAGGGTCTCAAGGCCACCTTTATTTTTATGGGACCACAGAAAGGCACCTTAAGGATAGCTGCCCAAACTGAGGGAAGAAGTAGTGTGGGGAAATGGGTCCAGCTGGGATGCATTAATACTTACCATTTGCTATAGTTAAACATCTTGGGTGAAGATGAAGTTCAGAAATTTTAAAGCGCTTCTGTGATAGACAGAACCTTAACATTTGGAATGTTTATCTGGTTAGCTAATTTACCATATTTACACCATCTTTCTACAAATGTCACCAAGATTGGGTACAACATAAATAATAAAACATGTAGTAACAATACAATTGATTAAAAATTAAAATACTAAACAACGTAAAACAGCATTGAAAGCCTACTGCTAACACATTTTTAAAAATTTAGTTCTTATCCTTAAGAACACTGGTATATTTCTGGCTAGAGCAGATAAAGATCTGTCTGTCTATTGGTTTCATCCTTTGTGCAACTGCTTCAAATGAAAAGTCTTGTCTTTTAATAAATGTTAATACTATAAAGCTTGCTTGATGCTGCAGTAATTCCAATTCTCATTCTATGTATTTGCTAATGTACTGCTAACATGGATGTGACATTTCATTGTGAAGAATGTTGGTTTCATTTCCCAGCAGAGCAAAGTGGAAGAGATAATCTTAAGGAAAGGGGAGTCTCGTAATTCTGTGCTCCCCTGAATTCCTCTTAGAGGTGTTACACTGTAGATGATTATTGTAACCATTTCATTCTTGGTGGAAGGACTTTATGGTTAAAAAATAATATAAATTCCCACAGCAAACTGTTTAAATATATTCTTCTCACTACTACCCATATGCCCACAGTAAAAGCAACACACCCAGATGTTTATCCAGTAGATGTGATCAACTGCATAAACTATATTCATTATTAATCATGTTACTGTGTACTACAATAATAATTCATAACTGAAATACAGGAAATAACATCAGGAACTTTCTGTTTCCTGAACAGTTATTTTGCATGTTGAATTATGAACCTAAAAATGAAGGTTTGTACTATGTAATAACTTATTTCAAAAGCATAAAGAGAACTTGTAGAGTAGGGGGCAATAAAGTATACCAGGTTCAGATTAGAAAGTCAATGTTTACTAATTATGACTATATTTTTAGCCTAGTGATAATGCTGCTTTGCTAAATTTCAGAAAGAATGCAAATTACACACACACACACATCCTTCTAAGTTGGTTATAAACAACTGTTACTTTTCAGCTATTGCACATTACTTTCTCCACTTCACAAAATACATAATTTATTAATCCATATGGAATGAAAAGCATTTGGCAAATCAGAACTATGAATAAATGGAAGTTAGCAGTTATAAGTACTGGTTACACTGATTATTAAATTAGATAAGAACATTTTTGGCTTTAGAAAACCGGAATCACTATGTTAATTCTTGGAGTGCCACGAATTAATGTAGTAAGGAACTCAGTATTTAACCATCATGCAAATAAACTGAACTCTCTACATCTATTTCACGTTGAAAACAAATGACAATCCCTAACATTTATTTATTAATTAGTTTTCAATTTTGTTTCATGCTTATTTGAAAGGGTTTATTCTAAATTTTAGAACCTAAAAGTATTAGGATCAAAATAGGATGCGCTTTCAGTGTTATGCAACTGAAAGAAAGACTTACTGTTTCACCACTCTAATTTCATAGGATTTATAATCTTCTTCTATCTTTTCTTGGCCTCTCTCTGTGCAAGGCTTTGGATCAAATTTCCATAAAGATGCTTCAGAGTATGCGAGAATACAAATGTACCACCTCTCTGCCATTCTTTCAAGTAGCTGTGGCTTCTTCCAGAATTGCATCACAGTCGCTGCTTGAAAAAGTGGCAGAATGTTGCTACATTCACACATATACACAACATACTCTGAAGGACCCTTTGGGAATTAAATCCACAGTGCTGCACAGCCCTGTTTTCTATTGTAGTGCATGAACCTTCAAGCACAACAATTAAAAACACAATGTTTTTGGAGAAATCAAATGAAAAGGAAACTGCTCCCTTTTCTTCTATGGATCAAGAGTCACTTGGGACTACTCTTCTTATGTACTTCTAAGCAACTGAGAAGTACTTCTAAGCAATTTTGGCGTGAAAGCAAGACTGCATAATCTGAGGCCCTTTTTCCTTGTAATATTAAGTTTTATTCAATTATTTCTTCCTTCAGAAACAAAAAGATTTTTTTTTAATTTAAAAAGACTAATGGGCTTCAGGTTCAAATTTCATGTTGAAAAATGTGGCTCCTCAGAGAAAAATCAGCTTGTTAATAAACAAATATTATAACAGACACTGCTATTTTAAACAGATACTAACTGTGAGAATAACTTATTTTGTAGGAACAATGACTGATGGTGAGGGAGCCTTTTTTTCCCTCAGAAAATATATATTCTTTTAGAGGTGTTTTGTTCAGGACCATATTCTGGCAGTGGACTGGGCCATCTTCTTTCTCTTTCTTACGCCGGTTTTTCCTCTCCTTTTCTGTCATTTGTTTCTATCTCGCATACATCCTTCTTCCTTCCCTGCTGTTCTGGGAGGGACATATCTTTTTATCAGTGGTTTAAAATGATCGCTAGCCAAGCATTTCTGGAAAAAGGTCAATGGTTACCCATTCCTGATTATTTCAATGCAGGTATTTGTTTTTCTTTTAAATTGTTAAAAAACAGTTTAATACAAAAGCAAAATGGAGATCTAAATAAGCATTTGTGATTACATTGGTTGGAAGTACCCCTTTTCCTATCCCTAAATTACAGTAAACACTTCCCACATAAAATCAGAAGAACCTGGTAGCACCTTTTCTAACGTTTTTTTTTTTTTAAAGGCATTATGCTACCAGACTTCTGATTATTTTTGTAACCATAGGCTAACATAGCTCTCCTCCTACAATGTCCGCATAACTGCTAAGAGATCTTACATCGAGACATAATATTCTGAATTTCTTTTACCTTTGCCAAACAGAGTTGTAAGAAACCAGACAAAAATAATAATACAAACCAAATTTCTATTTCCTTCCCAGAATACCACACAAATATGTAAATTATTCCCATGAGTTACAATAGAGGAGAATATACACAGCTCAGGGTTGAACAGTGGAGTCCTTGGTGTTTTCTAAACTTTATTGTTCATTTGCAAATGTTCCATTACCCAACTAAGTAACAGCATCAGTAATGAAATGTCTGCAAACAAACAACAAAGCTCAGAGAGCACCAAGGACTCCCATGAGTTAGCCTGCAAGTCATTACCTTGAGCTGGTCAGACAAGACTAATCTCACTATAGCTCATAATGATTTCTGTTCACCTCCCAGAATACCCCAGGAATATGCAAATTACCTCCATGAATAAGTGCACAGGTTATTCGTGAGCTGATCAGACAAGACTAACTTTATGACTAACTTTACTGTAGCTCATAGTGACTTCTGTTCACTTCCCAGAAAACCCTAAGAATATGCAAATTAACCCACAAGTTAGCCTGTAGGTCATTAATTCAACCTCATCAGACAAGTCTAACTTAATTATAGCTCACAGTGACTTCTGTTCACCCGCCCACCTCCAAGAACACACCAGGAATATTCAAGTTACCAGAATCATGCAAGCAGTGGCATTCCCTGTGATACTCTATAGAAATGAAAGTTGGACTTTGAACAAGCAGAATTGGAAGTGTACTGACATTTTTGAATATTGGTGTTGGAGAAGAGTCCTGAGAATACTGCAAGGAAGTATTTCTGCAAGCCAAGAAATCAATCATACAGATCATTGACCAGATCAACCTAAAGTCCTCACTGGAAGAACAAATGTCCAGGCTTGAATTATTCTACTTCAGACACATTACAGGAAGACTCAGCTCCCAGGAGAAGCTCTAACACTTGAAGAAGTAACATAATTGATTCAGTTACAATGGACACACTAATGGAATACCAAGTTAGAGATATACCATCCCAGAGAAAATCTACCTGTTAAGAACAACTTACTGACACATAACCAAAATAAATTATCCCCACAATGTAACCTGGAGGTTAGTCCCTTGAGGTGGTCAGAAAGCCTAATTTCACTACAGGTCACAGTGACTTCTGTTCATGTCCCAAAATACCCCAAAATGTGCAAATGATCCCCATGAATTAGCCTACAGGTCATCACCTTGACCTGGTCAGACAAGTCTAACTTCACTATTGCATACATTGACTTCTGTTCATTTCCCAGAATGCACCAGGACTATGCAAATTATCCCTGTGTCAGCATTCAACATTGGTGAATGAGGCTGTGTCCAGGGCACTTGTGATGGAGAGCAATAGGCTGGCTTAAGGAGCACAAGGAGGCAGGGACTTCACTGCTAACAGAAAATAATGGCTGTGGGAGCCCTCAGGGGGATCACTAGGGGCAGTATGTTCACTCTGCCTAATAAGAGATCTGGCACAACTATCTCTTTGGATCCTTCTGGTAGAAAATGTCAAGGAAGCCCATTAAAAAAAAAAACTGGCTGTAAGCAAGCCTGGTCTAACATTTAATAGTGTTTGCTGCTGATTCTAGCCTTTTTGCAACCATGTTATTCCCTAGTGAATTTGACTCAAAAAGATACATCCCAGAATTTTTTTCCCCCCTTACTAAATCAGTCCCATCATTTGGCTAGTGCCATCTGGTATCCAGATACTACTGTATGCTTCCTTCAGTTTTAATTTTTTTTTGTTTTTACAGCTCTCACCACATTATTTATGGCAAAATATTAAAAGCTGAAGATCATGTTAGCATATAAGATCTT